CTCACTGCAGGGCACTGGAAGCAGAACACGGAAAAGGGGTGGGGATGGACCCTGCCTCAACGCCAGGTACCACACCCAGGAGACCCTGGCAGTGGAGTGCTGATGCTAGGGTGATGCTGTGGATCCAAGTCCATGGCAGCCTGCTCCACGACGGCACGACTCAGCCTTAGTGAAACCAAGAGCAAGCTGGAAGAGCTCCAGAAGTGCGTTGACGACCGTGAACAGGAAGCACGGCAAGGACGCACTTGGTGCTCTAGGATCCTTAAGACGAAAGCACAGACAGACAGTGTGCAACTCAGCAGGGCCCTAAGCAACTTAGTGAGGCCCTGTCTCAAAATAAAACATAAAAAGGGCTGGGGATATGGCCCGGGGATCATGTGGCCCTGGGTTAATCCCTGGTACCAAAAAAACAGGAAGCACCCCACTTTAGAACCAGATATGGAAAACTGACACCATGGTAGAGGCCAGAGCAAGCAAAATGGTAATGACCCTGTGGACAAGGGAAAGACTCTATCATCCCTTTTCTTCTAGGTTAGACTGAGCCACTTTTACCAGACATGACCAAGCAAAGAGAGAACACGAGGGAAATGCAATTGTCCCCACTAGGCAGCAGTGAACGCTGGCCTCATACCATGCTGCTGCCAGTCCACAGCCCGTGGACTGCACCTGGCTCTGCTGCAATCCCAGGGAGGACAGGAAGGCTCCTCCGCGATCCCAGGGAGGATGCAGCCATTGCTGATGGCCATCTGTTCCCAGTCAATCTATAATGATGCTTCTAGGAGCTGGCTCTGTGAGGGCACCTCTCCCACTACGCCCCACAACATGCCAAATGGTTAAACCCACAGGGATGCAGCAAAAGGCCCAAGAAGGCGGCGTGGGGTCAGTAGGACGTGGCAGTCTGGCAGCTGTGCAGGCTCATGACTGGCAGCTCTGGCTCCTCTGATGCGAGAATTCTTTAACTAAAGGGACTGTCTCTCGATCATGGGGCTGGGGTAATCGGATGAACCGTGGACCACAGCAGAGTATACAAGAACCCCGTGGAGCGCAGTGTTGGGGCAGGCCTGGAACCCACTGGATCAGGCCTGTGGCTTCCTGCAGGCAAGCTGTGCTGCAGCACTGACAGTCTTAATGAGAACCTGGAGGTGGGCAGTAAACCCCTCATTAAGCTGTTTTAAAGCATGGATCCAGGAGTGGCCAGGGTGGTGGTTCATGTGGAGCATGTAACTCCTAACTCACAACAGCTGGCGGGAGGTGCTGCTGTGACGGAAACACCCGAGTTCCAGGGTCCCAGTCACATGAGCATCCCATGCAGCCTGGGCCGCCAAGCAAAGCCCAGAAAGCAGACTAACAATGCGGGGGAGTTGCTCACTCAGCCAAAAAAGGTGCCCCCACACCACTAAGGGCCACGTGCACACAGAAATGCTCCAAATGAAGCGGCAAAGGGCAGAGGGAAGCCCAGCCCTGTGCCCTGCAGGGGAGTGTGGGCCCACCATGAGCCAGCCACAGAGAAATGCCAGCCTGGAGTGCCACCTGGTCCCCACCCCCAGCCTATGGCCACCCTGGTTGCTTATTTTAGGCTAAGATGCAGTCCTTGTGCCTGTTATGTGGACGGTGCCCCCCCACCTGGCCCCACGTGTCCACAGCTCACTGTAGTCCCATCAGGACAGATGCCACGGACACTGCCTGCCTGTTTCTGCTCTGAGGCTGTGTGTGGCAGCCAGGGGTATGGTAGGGCTTGCTATCCAAGTTCCTCCAGACTCTTCAGTGTCCAGTTCCCACCATGGGTCAGCGGGAGAGAAGAGAAGGCACCTCCTGAACAGTGCTCACAGCGCACAGGCCACCCAGGACTTGGCCGTCACACCTCTGCTGCCACAGCCTCCATCCTGGAGCATGCCTGGCCCTTGGTGCTGGCGAGGGGCACCCAGTCCCAATCCCAGGGGCATCTCCAGCCTGGCTCTCCAAAACTGCCCTGCCAGACACCCCTTTGCCCCTCCCCCCCCCCCCCCCCCCGCCCTATGACCAGCCACAGTCTGCTCTCTGCAAGGCCAGTCCATATCTCACGACCCCTGAGAGGACACCTGGAGGTCTATGCCTACACATACCCAAGTCCACCAAAACAAAAACCACCATCAAAGAACTCACAAAATGCTTTGGAGCCTAAAGCACTCCAAATCCTCGGGAAAAGCACTGCTCTCCCCCCAGGACTGTCTGCCAAGGCCCAGGACCTGGCGAGGCCTGGGCTGCCCAGTCAGCATGCACACTGACCTCACTATTGCCCTCAGGACCTCCTGGGCCCATCAGGAGGCATGTTGGTAGCAGGCCCTCGTCACAAGTGTGCCCTGCCTATCACATCCCCAGAGGGACCAGCCTACTGTCCCTTGCGCTCCACAACCCAGGCCTGGGTGTAACTCTGCAGAAGCCTTGGGGGCACCAAAGACTCGCTTGGAAGCAGCTGCAGCCCTCTGCATGTGCAAGCCGGTCAGGGCCAGGCAGGGCCAGGAGGCCCAGGAGGAATGGACCGTAGGGGCTGGTGCACTTGGGGAGGGTGTCTGCCAAGCCTAGAAGTCAGCTGGTGGCCACCAGGGCAGAAAGAGTCCCTAAAGTGCAACTGACCCACACAGGAGCCTCAAGAAGCCCACTGCTGCAGGGGCAAGATGCACCCAGCACCCACGGGGCACCAAGTGACCCCTCAGACTCGGCCTTGGAAGGGCACATTACCAACACAGCAGCCTTCAGAGTTCATCAAGGCCAGCTTTCAATAGAGATGCGGATGTAGAGCCGGTGGCAATCAGTGTGGCTTTCCTGTGTCTTGGGAACGGCCCCACTCACACAGCTGCACTCTCTGGGTGACCACATCTGCCTACACATAGGAGAATGAGACCTGGGGACCTGCTGGGCAGTGCAGCTGCCGACCAGGAGGACCCCTGGCTACCACGATGGAGAGGGACCACCTAGGACAGCTGAAGATGCCAGCAGGAGCACAAGTTCTGGGGAACATGGTCATTTGAGACAGGAGGGCACCAGCAGCCTCACCATCCAGGGAGGCCACAGTTCTGGGGAACGTGGTCATCTGAGACAGGAGGACACCAGTAGGCCTCACTGTCCAGGGAGGCACGGCAGGGTGGCTGGGCGCACTGGCATCCTGTGAGCCCAGGTGGCTCCTGCAGCCCTTGGAGGTTGGCTAGAGGAATGGGTGCTCTGAGTGGCACTGGGCAGACCTTTCTGCAGCCTGAGGAGGCCTAACTGGCCCTGTGCAGCTGCTGGCATGCCGAGGGCAACTGTGCACCTGAGAACCAGCATCCCCGTTGAAGTCAGGGAAGCTGACCTCAGAAACGCACGTGGCCAAAGGGTGCCACAGTCCTGAGGCTCTGGAAGTGGGGCTCCTGGCGAGCCACCAGCTCCTGAGGGGTGTGGCCCTGGCGCAGTCTGTGCAGGCAGCTCCAGGCTCACCACAGACACACAAGGCAGACACGCTCAGAGTAACTAAGATGACACATAAGCCTGATGTGATCAGGGGCTCACTGTGAAAACAAGTCCTGCAGGGGACCCCAGCAAGGCCAGAGGAAAGACTGGAACAGTGTGCCCGGCCTCGGACCCACCCACCCCTCTGCTGTGCTCTCGACGGCAAGTGGGGGGGCTGTGCTGAGGCGCAAGGGCTGCAGTGAGCCTCATGCCCATGTCTCTGTTTGCCGTCATTGGAACGTGACCACAGAGAGAGATGAAGGTCCTCTCCCTCAGGGACCATCGGAGGCAGCATGACAACAGTCAATGGCTTCTGAGCCCGAGGTCGTTAGATGCTGAAGACAAGTGGGGATAACATGTAACCAACGCAGACAATGCCAACAGCAGCAGGAACAGGCAGCTGTTCTGGTGTGGAGCACCAAGGAGCCCAGTGCCCAGTGCCCTGGTGAGCTCTGCCAGGATCTGGCCCACAGAGCCTCAGGTGCCGCCACCCACAAGGCCCCTTTTATCAGAAGCGTGGACTCAGTGAGGTGGTTCTATACTGGAAAACCTGGGTGTGAGGCCAATCCCCACTACTGCTGGCCTACGCCTTGGCATCCAAGGCAGGGGCAGCCTGGCCACTTCACAGGCCTAAGAACACAGGGAGCACCAGTCTACTCAAGCCATCAGTGCACCCAGTCTCCACAATGTGCGCCTGCTCTGCTTCACAAACTTGGAACTCACTGCACCAAGGAGCAGGCATCCCCACCCTAATAAAGATCTCTAGGCCCTAAAGTCCCAGTCCTCGTGACAGCTGGAAAACAGTACTCTCACAATTTTAAGCAAGTAAATGTACTAAGGGTTTGTTAACCTAAGTGTGGGCGTGTGCAGGATTCTGAGGGGGATTCTAATGCCAGATAACCAAGAGCAAACATGGATATCCTGGAGCCTCCATGTTCTGGCTGGCCCATTCCCTGGGGGACAGGTGCTACTTGTGCTAAGAAATGGGTGAGGCCCAGGCAGGGTCAGGGCGCTGGCATAGGACCACAGATGACAAGGTATGGAATGAAAACCTGCCTCTCACTTTCCCTGAAGGCTGGGGTGCAGGTCGACTTAGAAACCCACTGTGAGCCCACTGAGAAAATACCTGCTGTCCATGGCCAGCCTGTCTACCTGGGCTGCCCTCTGCCCCACTCCAGGGGCTCCACCTAGCATGGCCTGGGGACCCAGGATCCCCTTCCCACGCAATGCACAAACCAGCATCAGTGCCACACGCAGAGGTGGACGCTAGGCTCAAGGGCCCAGAGAAGGGGGTGCTGGCCAGGTCGGAGCACCTGGAAGCCCACGAGCCCCCATACCTCACCAGCCATGGTCTGGGGAAGGGCTGCCTGGTTAGGACTCCATGTTGGTCAACAGGGGCTGCACCCAAGCCACCCAGCACACTGGAAGAGCTGGTGGAAGATGCTCAAGCAAAGAGAAAAGCCAGGGAGAGTGTGTAAAGATACATACCCCAACGTATAACAAGCCCCCGCAGTCCTTCCCTAAATCATCTCACTTACCAAAAGAATACCTGAAAAACAAAAGAAAAAACTGTATTCAGTTTAATTGGCTCACTTTGACCCCAAATTTATAAGATTAACCTCTGTGTTTCCCACTAGGGAAGCCCACCCACAAGCCCAGGCCAGGAGGACCTGGTCCAGGACTGGGTGGTCAAATAGACACTGTCCACAGAGCCCATACAGGGTGGGCCCCCAGGCCAGTGTGGCTAGAAGCTGCTGTGGGCAGGAGCAGGAGGAAGGCTGGGATCTTCACAAGCATAGCACTACAGAAAATGCCACACCCTGGAGCCTGCGCACTCAGAGGGCACCCACCTCAAACACAGGACACCGGAGCCTGGGGCTTCAGGCACTTGGCGGGCTCTGATCCATTGCCAGGACCTGAGAAAGGCCCACTTTCCTGCAGAGCTGGGGCAGGCAGTGGCTAGTGTTCCAAGGCAGCAAAGCCAACACATGTGAGGACCCCAAACCACATAGTGAGGTCCCCACGGTATGCTGGAGGCAGAATGGGCCTGGGCTTGACCAGACACCTCACGCTTGCCTCAGAAGAGTCCACCCAGCCCCCACCCAGAAAACCTGCCTCAGATCAGGAGTGAAATCCCCTTGCCATCTTTAACACACAAGTACCTCCAGCCAGCAGAAGGAAAGACGCACCACATGCTGCAACTGAGACGGGTGTGGAGATAAAGCAGACACAAGGCCACACGCTTAGGCCCTTGTCTGTGTGAGGGTCCAGACAGCTAGATCCACAGACAGTGGCCAGTAGTCACAGGCTGGGGAGGGCATGGGGGGACAGCTGCCAGATACAGGCTGCTTCTGAGGTGCAGAAGTTTTAAGATGGGTGTGGCAATCATGCCTGTGATCCTAGCTCCTGGGGAGACTGAGGCAGGAGGATCCAGTTCAAGGCCAGCCTCAGCATCTCAGCGAGGTCTGTGTCAAAATAAAAAGGACTAGCGATGCAGCTCCGTACAGAGCACTTGCCTAGCATTCAGGAGGCCCTGGAGGCAATCCTCAGCACATACAAAACACACACACACACACACACACACACACACAGTGAAATAAATGCACAGAGAACAAAAGGACATGGGCAGCATCCTTGAGCCTACTTGTCACAAAGAAACCTGGGTCCCAGCAGCTTGGAGCTGGCTGTGCCAAGCTGCAGGACGTGGGGCAGCTTGGTCCCCTGGTGGTCCTCGAGTTAGAGATGTGAAGAGCTGCCCTAGAGGCAGCCCCCATGGCTCTCCATGACTTCCAAAAGCAAAGCCAGATGCAGGAGTCCACGTCTCCGACTGAGACTCCCCCCACTCCTCCAGGTGGCTCAGAAGCAGGAAATGACCAGGAGCCTCTGCCCATACACCCTTTGAAGAGGCTTCTCCATCCCTTTGCAGGGAAGAAAGTGCCAAAGAGGAAGAGGACCCCTGAGACACTGGCTTGTCCCACATTTCCTGAGAGGATCTTTCCTTCCTCACGAGGGGCTGGGAGGTGGAGGACAGAGAGCTGTGTGTCATCCTGAATAGCAACAAAGAAACACTTTGGGGTCAGTGCCAAAGCAAAGTACAGATAAAAGAACCAGAAACCCCACGTTTCAGAAAAGTCAAGTCAACAAAGAAACCAGTTACAATTAGGCGACCAGAGCTGGGGCACATGGCTTTAGGAAAGCCACAATCTTTTTCCCTAGTGGCACTGAGATGCTCTACCTGGAGTCACGTCACATCGGGGCCCTTTTTATATTTTGAGACAGGGTCTCACTGAGCTTCCCAGGCTGGCCTGGAACTTGTGATGCCCCTGCTTCAGGCTCTGCGACCTCTGGGATGGCAGGCGTGTACCAAGGCACCTGGCAAGAAAGGCCAGTTTTGATCGGGGTTGGATTGTTCTTTAAAATCACTTAAAAGTTTATGTAGTCAAAGTTATTAAACTTTTCTCTGTCTTATGCCTCCAATCCTAAATGTTTACCTTCCTAGCCTGGACACCCAGGGTACAAAGCAAGTATATGTCAGTCCATGCTGATAAAACCAATGGCTGAGCAGATCCAGGGGGACCAGAGGCAGCGCCCCGTGCAGAGTCTTGCTATGGGGTCCTGCCCTGGGCACGGGAGGACAGGGGAAAGTCACCTGCTGGGTACATGCAGGCGCCTCCCGAGTCTCCCTCCCAAGCCCAGCTCCTGTCCAGCCATGGGGAACCACAGGCCAGTCCCAGTAGAGGGGCTCCCCAAACCATCCCAGCATCAGAAACAAGGGAAGTTTGAGAAGAACCTCAGAGCCTATGTGTCCCCTGGGGTCCTGGATGGGGTCCCAGGCCAGGAAAACCAGGGAGATGTGAATCAAGTGGACATCAGTTCCCACAAGTATGTCCACACTGATACAAGACACGAGTGAGGGGGAAGGGGGATGCTTTCACAAAACTCTGGATCCAAAACTGCTCTGGCAACATCAGGGGGTCGAACAGCCTCTTGTTCCCTGTAGGAAACGCAGAGCGGCGTCCAGGGAGCCACCAGGGAGGCACGTCCCATGATGACACTCAGCAGCTGCAGCAGGTTCCAGAGGCTGACAGCCAATGCTCCCTCCTGAGGTGGGGCTTGGTCACGGGCCCTGGTCTAACCAGGGAGGTGACAGGTCACAATGAGAGGGGACAGGACAGGACTCCAAGGGGAGCACTGGCAGCTCACAGCACAGCAGGGAGACAGGTCAAGCCAGCCGTGATAGGCGCTGTTCCTAACAGTGGCACGCTAGATGAATGGACACATCTTTCCACTACCCGTGCTTGGTCCCAGGCAGCAGCCACTCTTGGGGGAGCATGATGTGTACCTGCCAGGGCCACAGCTACCAGCGTGCACATTGTCTGAGTGGCCCAGACCCAAATGAATGCTCTTTTCTTCAACAAAATCAGTGAGGCATGAAGGAACCGACTGTCTGACTGCTGTCCTGGCCCTCAGGACAGCCTCTCTGCCTGGCAGGTCCAGCCTCCCTTGCACAGCCCCAGGCTGCTTTCCCCTAGCACAGCTACCCTAAACTGCCACCGTCGGGGAAGCCAGGGTCCAGGCTGCAGGGAGGGCATCTCTCATTTCAACATATCCACAGGAGGGGATAGAACCTCTTTCCAAATAAAAAAAAACACAAAACTGTTCTTGGCCATAAGTCCTCAAGTGGTTTTCAAACATTTAAACTTCCACAAGTCCTCAAGGTGGTTTCCAAACATTTAAATGTTGAGTGGATCTTTCCTGACCAAAACATCACAGATCAGTAAAAAGCACCTTTCAAAGCAAAACAGCACACTCCCCTGGCTGAGGACTCCCCAAGGCCCTAGGCACTCACAGGACGAGAGAGTCGCCAACGTGTACACCACAGGGGCTCCTGGCTGTTTTGGTTTTCTAACTCCAATTGCTGCAATCAGGCACAGCTACCTGAAGTTCTCCCTCCTCTGGTTTGGATTAAAATCACGATGTCTCAGTCACAGCAGCCTCCAGGATGTCACAGAAAAATGCAGCCAGAATCACCATATGCTTGTCAACTGTCACCACCAGAAGACAGGAAAGGTCAGTCACCTAGTAGGCAGCAGCCTGGGATCCTGCCTGGGGAAAGCAGATGGGCAAGGCAAGCTACCCTCAGCTCACAGTACTCTGCACACAGATGTCCACCTGGGGCAGCCAGAGGGCCTGGACAGGGTAGGCAGCTGCTGGACTGTGCATCCACCAAGGGGCTGTATGAGAACCTGTGTCCATCCTTACCCTTCAATCAAAAACGTGACAGATCAGATTAAGTCCTGTCCAGGAAATAACAGTTTCCATATGTATGCACTGTGACACGTCCCTGGCCACTCGGTGACCCCTGAGAAGGTCTAATAAAGCATGCCTGGGCCAGAGCCACAGCTGCAATAAGCCCCTTGGTTCTCCTTTGGACAGTACACAGCTTAGCATCCTGATCTGCACGGCTTGTGGACAAACTAGAATGGCCCCAAGTTCCTTCACTAGAGGACAGAGCTCTGGCCAGTGTGGCAACGTGGCACGTGGACACCAGGCCCGTGGCAAGCAGCAGGGGCCATGCCTGCTCTTCTGCAGTCTGGCTCAGGAGGGCTGCCTTCAAGCCTGAGGCTGGTGCCAGTCATATATATCCCAGCCTGCAAAGTCTTTGACACACCCACAGGGCACAGGGGCCAGAAAAGCCCATGATGAGAGGGGAGGCCCAGACCCTGGGCAGGAGCTTGGAGTATACCAAGATAACCTGGCAAAGTCACAGGGAAGTTGCCAACTCAGCTCTGCAGATGGCCCCCAGTGCCAAATCCCACAGCTCCTAATGGAACACTGCAAGGAGCCCCAGAAGTCCTCCACAGCCTACATCTCTACACAGGTGCCCAGGTCTACCTCCCACATGTCCAGGAGACACTGTCCCACACTCAGAGCTGCCTGTCCATCTGTGGTCCACAGGACTTCGGCTTTTACAAGTCCAGTGCCCCCATCTCCACAGTTCCAGAACCCACACTAGGATCAGGGACAGGGCCAATCTGTGATCCCAACAGTGCCTGCTGCTGGCTGTGTGGCTCCTTTAGAGCAGGGAGGGGAGGAAGGAGGACGCCTTGGGCCAGGCCTATCCCTCAGCACACGTGCAGCAGCCCACCAGCGACTCTGCCTCCACATCTCCCATCTGCCATGGCTCAAGCAGGCAGGAAATGTAGTCCCAAGTAGGGACATGCCTCTACAAGCAGAAAGGCCCTGCCCAGTGGCAATCGGCAGCCCCTACCACCTCCTAAGTGACCATGACGCTCCTCTGGGTTGATTTAAGAAGACTCATGCCCCCTCCAGGTACCAAGAGCCCTGAGGAGTATGTGCAGGGTGCTCCATCCACTTGGTGTAGTAACAGGCCTGGCAATGCCTGTGCCCTAGCTCTACTCACCAGACTTGTCCCACGTTGACCAAGGACAGGTAGAGACCCCAGAGAGCAGCCATGAGGATCATGTTGGCACAGCCAGTTATCAGGACAAAGCTCGAGATGCCCAGTCCAAGCAGAGCCAGCAGGTCCAGGTTGAAGTCCATGTTTGACCAGTCCAGCAGCCAGATGATGGTGGGTGCATAGCTCCAGGCATCCCAGGCACCCTGCTCCCGGAAGTACTGCTGCACGCTCTTCAGGTATGCCCTGCAGGGCAGCAGGCCTCGGTCACCAATCAGCTGCTTGTTCTGTTGCAAAGCCACCAGGAATGCCACGGCTGGGAGAAAAAGGCCACACACAGGGATGTGAGTGGGAGCAAGCCCTGGAAGCACGGCTTCTAACTGCCCCAGTGCCTGTCAGCAGGGTGACCCCACAGAGCTGAAGGCTGCACTACTACTCACATGGAAGCCCAGCTACCTCAACTTGAACCCCAAGTCAGAGTTCATCCCCAGAGACCACACCTTCACGGCAGCACTCATAGCCTCAGACCCCAGGTTATATGACTGGAAAGAACCTTGCTGCTTTGGTACCGTGAGAGAGAGCCCACGCCTGTCCACCTAGGGAGGAGAGGACCAGGCCAGTCAGTACTGTGAGGTACAGCCCATGCCTGTCCACTCAGGGAGGAGAGGACCAGGCTGGTCAGTACTGTGAGGGACAGCCCATGCCCTGTACACCCAGGGAGGAGAGGACCAGGTCAGGGCCAGCGCATACCAGGAAACATGATTTGGTCTCACCAATTTGATGATTTCAGAGACTGATTCCAAGGCAAGAAGCACAGGGAACTTCCTATTGAGGGACAGGCCATGCCTGTCCAAGCAGGGAGGAAAGGACTAGGCCAGTCAGTACTGTGAGGGACAGGCCATGCCCATCCACCCATGGAGGAGAAGACCATGCAAGCACTGAGAAGCTGTTGAAAAAGCAACAAAACCAAAAGCCAGCTCCCTGGAAACATCTGTAGGAAGACTGCCCAGCCAGGAGAGGACAGAGGCACCCAGGGGCCAGTGGGACACTGCTTGCAAGAGAAGAGACATTCTAGTGTGCACACGATGGCCTGGTTCCATACAAACAGCTCTACCCGCCTCATCAGGCTTCTGACACCTTTATCCACCCAGAAGAGCTGGGGCTCCTTGAAGAGGTGGCAGACTCCAGGGCTGGGCAGGGAACAGAAGTGGGGCTACGGCATTCTGTGGGTTAAACAGGTGGAGGCACCTGGATAAACAGGTGGAGGCATGCCAGGGTGCAAGGAACAACCCACAGGGACCACCAGTAGCCATAGCTGGGCAATCTAAGCAGCATAGTCATCTTGCGGAAGCAAAAGCCCGGTGCAGACTGGACATGGAGTCCAAGGTGCACAGAGGATTGGTTACAAACAGATGTGAGAAGACGCAGCCCTCCTTTCAGAGGATTCCAGAGTCCCTAGACACCCTCTCCTGGAGATGCTGTGGATCCCTCCTCCCCTGGGCCTGGGCTCAGGGACTGGTTGCCCAAGACAGAGTAGGCAGAAAGTGCAGTTAGGCAGAGGGGACAAGCAGCAGCCACATCATAACCAGGTGACCCGTGTAGGTATCACAAGAAGGGCCCCGCTCAGTGGTAAGATCTTCTCCAAACCCACTGCCCCAGTGGATCATGAGAAAACATCAGACAGAACCAACTTGAGACCCAACTTGAGGGATGTTCTGTAGAATACACATCGAGGAATCTGCACTGTCAAGGTCATGAGAAAGCAGGGCTAACACCGTGGGGGGGTCCCTAGATGGGGTCCTGAGCTTTAGTGAAAAATCCATAGTGCACAGTTTGACTAATAGTTAAAAAATATTTAAAAAGTAAATGTTTCTTAAAAATCCACCAAATGCAATTCAGCAAGAAGACCCTGAGCCCTGCCTCCCTCCTGACTGAGGGAGGAGCTGACCAGCAGAAACAGCACAGGGTCCAGGGGCTACCAAGGGAGAAACCATGCTGAGGGCTCCCCAGGCCTTCCCCCGTACCCTGCTCCCCACTGCTCCTGCCTGTAGCACTGGGCAGGAGTGGCCTGAGTCTACCTGCCACTGCCCTTCCCAGCAACCTGGAGGACACACCACAGCCCAGCAGCCACACCCAAATGTGCCGCATCAGCTTCCAAGAGGGCCCAGGCCAGGTGCATGTGCACCCAGGCATTGTCTGTAGGTGAAGGGCAGGTGCCTGGCTTTGCGTCACTGGCAGGAGCTCCTTCCACAGAGGGCCCAACCAGCCAGGGCTGAAGCACTGGGCAGCTCCTCCCAACAGCACACTGGGAACTCCAGCGCATACCAGGAAACATGATTTGATCTCACCAATCTGATGATTTCAGAGACTGATTCCAAAGCAAGAAGCAAAGGGAACTTCCTATTAATCAGAAACAATGAAGACAGACTGGGCTTAAGTTTCACAGGAAAACAGCCTCTCTCCACGTCAACCCAAGTCAGAGAAACATCTACGGAGAAAGGAACCCGTGTTGTTTCAAAGCACCACAGGATCTCACAGTGAAACCAACCACCAACCTGTGAAGAAAGATGGGAGCAGGAAATGCCAGGTGGCCCAAGGAGGCCTCGTCCAGGAGGACTGGCAGGTCGGCAGAAGCCACTCACCCTTGCACTGGGGCTGAGATACAGCTCAGTGGCAGAGCACGTGGGAGGCCCTGGGTTCAATTCCCAGCACTCTACAGGAAAAGTTTTTTTTATGCTGTCCCTCTCAGATGACCTGCTCTAATGTTAGGACAGACCTTCCCGACACACTTCCCACTAGCTGCTCTTCACAACGCCTCTATGTTCTTCTTTACAGTTATGTGGCTATGCGCTGGCCCCTGCTCAGAGGTAGGCGCGTGCTTTCTGACACCACAAGCGCCACGGAGGAGCCTAGAAGCCGTGGAAGCCACGCAGCACATGCCCCCCACCCCCAGGCCTGGGGAGGAGGAACAGCACCTGCCTCCTGAGGACTCACATAGCAGACTCAGCAAGCAAGACCAGGGATACTTTTGGTTCCACTTTTCTCTTAAATTTTCCAAAGAAACGCTAAAGTTCAGCAAACAAGGTGGTCTCAGGCCCGCCAGATTTCCCTTAGTAGAGGGCTGACAAGCCCTGGCTCTGCCCAGTGCTATGTAGACTCACCTCACCTGCTGTGGAGTCGTCTGCCCCACACGACAGGACACCAGAGCAGCTGCCCAGGATGCACCTGACAGGCTTCCCGCACACTGCATTCCCCAGGGCAGTGCAGCAGGCAGGCAAACCCACGCACACTGCATCTGGCCCCAGCCAGGCCTGGAGCCTTTACACCAGGTTTTTAAAGAAATCTTACCCACATGAGTCCTGCACATGGGTGCAACTATCCTTAGCAGGGGGACAGTCCACCTGAGTCCAGCCCAGGGAACACGAGTGTGTATCTAGCCTCTGCACAGCACCTGGCAGCAGGGTGAGGCCATGCATCCTCCCGCCTCCAGGCAGCCTTAGCAAACACCGCACTGCCACAGGTTCCAGGAGTCCACGGCAGGGGTTTCAGAGGCTCTGCACTGGTCATTTCCTCAACATCCTCTCATGGGGTGCTTTAAAGAATCCCTTACTCGGGCTGGGATGTGACTCAAGCGGTAGCGTGCTTGCCTGGCATGTGTGGGGCCCTGGGTTCGATCCTCAACACCTCATAAAAATAAAATAAAGATATTGTGTCCACCTAAAACTAAATAATATTTAAAAAAAAAAGAATCCCTTACTGCTTGGAGCCACTGCACAAAGGGACCTTAGTACTTCTGTTTAATTTCTAGAGTGGGCAACGGCATGACAGCTCTGTGCTCAGCTGGTGAGCAGGCAGCCACAGACCCTCCTGCCATGCCCCAGGAAGGCTCTGGGGGGTTTCTGCCAGCTTCCCTCTTCCTCAGAGAACAACAGGTCACATTTTTTGATGCAATGACCATTGGTAGGGGGCAGTGTCTCAGGGAAGCCCACATTGCCCTGTGACCCTGAATGCAATGCCCACTCTCAGGCTGTTTCCTCATTGCACTTGGGGACCGCAACAGTGGGTGCCATTTCATACTCCAGAGTACCCGATCCCATGACTTGGGCTGCAAAATCCCATCACAGGAAAACAGCAATCTGGGTCCAGGGGTGCCCACCACCTCCTCCAAAGCCTCAATCCTTCCAGGGAATCTTCACTACCCAGGTGTAAACCTGGTGCTCAGGACACTGTGCTGTGATGGGGAGTGGTGCAGGGACAGGCCTCCAGGGACCATCACACTCATGGTGACTCACAGCCAGGACTGACGGTGCCCTTCGCTGTCCCCCAGAGATGATGGCGAACCCAGTGAATGCACCGTGAAGCACCGTGGGCTGCAAGTGTGGTGCTTGCAGCACCACAAGCATTCTCAGGGCAAGTCCACATACTACAGTGACAGGGACCTGGGTGGCCTGGCCTCAGCTCCAGCATATGCCCAGCAGCTGGCCCCATGCACTCAGATCTGGGTAGAACTCACCCCTAGCACCTACACACGCCAGCACTCCACAAATAAACACCATGCCCCTGTTGGAGGCACCGGGAAGGCAGAGCACTGCCGCCGGCCTCCAGCTGGCTGCGCGGCTTCACTGGCAAGCAACTGTCCTGTTCTTCCTCAGCAGGTCTCCTCACCCAAAGCACCTTTGTCATGTGCCTCGTAAGACGCTGTGCATGAGGCCAAGCCTCCCTAAATTCAATGCCTCTCAACAGGAGGCTTCCCATAGAACACACATGGTTATGTTTGATCACATATCCTTCAGTAGCTGGAAGTATCGCAAGACTCAACATTCCAGTGAAATATCTGGAGAAGTCCTATAGCACCTTGGAAGAGCCCTGGGATCCCGAGAGACAGTGTGATGCAGTGCCAGTGAGATCCAGGACCTCCTAGAAAGAGCCCTTGCAGGAGGACTGCCCACTTGCCCACAACTCTCAGCCAGAAAACCACAACCCTAAAGACAGAAAACTGGTTCTCCCTAGATGCACTTACTCACAAGGTAGAAAAGAAATGCACGGATCACAGCAAATTGCTAGGCACCAGATTGAAAATATTTGCTCCTTTCTGTGGTTTACAGTGGTTCCCTCCGAAGTAAACAGAGACCAAAAGCTCCACTGGCTCACGTGGAAACCCGAGCCCCAACTTACAGATCTGTGCTGGAGGCTCCCCTGCTTCATACTAGTGAGGTCTCACAAATGCACTTTTAGGTTGGTCCTGTCTCTGTGTCCCTGCAAACTTTCAGAATGACTCCTTAGTACTCTGCAGGATGAGGCAACCCCGAGCATGGCTATTTTCCACAGTAGCTTAAAGAGAGACTGAGTGGAAGTTCACACTGGCAACCCCAGTGACTACTGGGCAGGGCCCCAGCTCTCCTCTGCACTCACACAAAACCCAAAGTGGACCTGGCTCCTCCGCAAGCCAGCTTCAGCAACTCCTTCCACGTGTGAGGAAATGAAGCAGAGACGCTCTATACCCACCATGGAAAGCCATGCCTAGGTAGGGCCAGGACAGCCCCTCTGGAACTAAGGGTGACTGCCCTAGCCCAGCAGGGCTGTCCAGGCTCGGCCTTCTCACGGCCTTCAGGCTTACGGGGGACTCTGTTTGGTCTTCCTTATCAACAGGCTGGGCCACATGCTCAGAGAACCATACCCTCAAACCAAAATTCAGGGTTTTTGGGGACCCAAGTGGGAAGTATTTGGGATTGGCAGCTGCCCCACCCCCAGCAGGGCGGGGCATGAGTGGCAACAGAAGGCAAAGGTGACCATGTCGAAGTTACCAGCTAAAAGCCCTTGTCCTCCCCTAACCCCTAGGGCAGCACCGCTGAGACCCTACACAGGGAAAAGGAAACACAACTTCATACAATCTCAAGGAAAATCTAGGCACACACACCGGTAGCCTAATGAGGGTCCAGTCTCGCAGGAAGGTGCAGGACACCGGGAGAAGAAATAGACTTCCGTACAGGGGCGAAGCGGACTCAAGCAGGGGAGAGATTCCCTTGTAGGTATAGGATGGGCTCCAGTGCGAGGGGGATTTGGGGGACCGAGCGGGCTCGTGCAGGAGCGGGGCGCGGGCTCCCGTGCAGGGGGCGGAGCCAGCGGACGGGGGGCGGAGCCGACGGACGTGGGTGGGGAGGACAAACGGGGGGACGGGGGAGGGGCGGTGAGCTCCCTCGTAAGGGCGGGAGGAGCGGGTGCTCACGCAGGGGCGGGGCGGGCTCCGGCGGAGGGGCGGAGCGAGCGGGAGAAGGGGGCGCGTGTCCACGGGCGCGGGCTCCCGCGCAGGGGCGGGGCGCGGGCGGCTTCTTGCGCCGCCAGGCACTTACAGTAGACGAAAGCGAGGGCCCTCAGGAGCACGATTCTGGTCAGCCAGAAGGTGCCGGTGCGCAGGCGGGTGGAGCAGCCAGCGTCATCGCGTCCTGGTGCGGGCGGCGACCCAGGCCCTGGGCCCGAGCCCCCGATCTTCCGCCTCCTCAGTGACCCCTCGGGCGCAGCCATTGCTGCCATCTCAGCGCCTGCGCGGGGAGGACGGATCGCAGAGACCACGCCCTGGCCACGCCCACTGTCTGGTGGGTCTTGCCCACGCGCGGGCAGGCACCCTCCCTCCGCAAGCTTCGGGGGCGTTGCGCTGGGAGGGCCCAGGGGCCGCTCGGGATTCCTTCACTCCTTGGTTCGTTCCGCCAGCCGGTGTTGCGAAAGTCCCGGGCGCTGGCCTTCTAGGGAAGAAGCGCGATGGAGGCGAATGGAAAGTGCGTCCTGCGCTCCCTGCGGTGTGGATCCGGTGCCTGCACAGGGGAGGCCGGGCCGCGAGGATCGCGGGGTGCAGGCGCCTCCTTTTTGCTTTCCGCGGAGGAAGCTGGGCAGCCGACGCAATTGGTGGGGTACAGAGTGGGCAGGGCCGACTCCAGCTTCCTAGCCCACCCGAAATTCCATGGGGGTGTCTGCACAGCCATCTAAGCTCCTACTAGATAGGCAACGTTCCTACAGGCTTTGAGCAAAGAGGGACCATCGAGGACTCAGAGGAGGGAAGAACTTATCACCGACCAGAGCAGGACCCCACGAAAGCTAGCAACTCTGCTTCTGATAGTAGAAGCCATTCAGTCGCTGTTCGGGGGGGTGTTGCTCTGAGACTGTGGATCGGTGAATCAGGCATTCCTGAGACTTCTCAGAGGGAAGATGCGCGCAGGACAGTGGGCACAACCCTAGGTGAACTGCAGGGCTCTTGGGAAGCAATCAGAGAGGTGTGGGGTTTTCCCTCTTCATTCGTTAGCACTCTTTACATACTAAAGGTCCTATTTCTTTGTGTATATTGCAAATGTTTTTCTTGGTTCTATTTGGTATTACATCTTCTTGTCTTTAGTTTCTGAATTTTGCACTCAGTGTTTTGACATATAAATTATCAATGCTTGCACCGTCAAATGATCCGGATTTTGTGTCTGTCTATACCTTCGCCCACCTGCAGTGCAAGCATCATGAGGGGTTGTCTGTGGACAGTTGCCCCTCTCCAAGTTAAGCCAGATGGGTAACTGCTGGGACTCCTCCCCAAACCCAACCCCAGCCTTCCCCTGTTGCTGGGGTAACAGCACTGATGTACATCTTATATAAGTTTTTCAAAGCTTGCCTTTATTTTTTCTGAGAGACCCTCCCTCAGGAGCCCAGCTGTGAAGTGTGACCTATAACAGATGTTGCAGTGGGTGGCACAGACACCTGCCACATCCTGTTGTGCTTCCAGCAGGGCAGCAACATGTGCCCAAGGTCTCCAAGTTTGGGGACTGGAGGAACAGTTCTTCATGGGAGCCCTTGCCCTGCACCTTTCTTCCTTGCTGTCTGGATGCCAGACACGGGATGGATAGCACTGCTGTTTGGGAAGGACAGACAAAGCCTGCAGAGCTTCTCCAGGTCCCAGTCTGGAGACCAGAGCTGCACTGGACGGAAGGCGAGGCAGGGCAGCTCTGCCATCAGGTGTGACCCTGGGTGCTGCCTTTCAGGTGGGGACAGTTCTCACAAAGGGCTCTTTTGTGCTCAGCTTCCCCTTGCTGGGGCTGCATTGTCCTCCCTTCAGAAGGGCACAATGGGGCATTGTGCAGAGCAGAAAAGGGCCCCTTGTTCTGGCATCCAGCTCTCGGGCTCAGCTGGCTCCGTGCTCCCTCTCTGGATTTGCCCAGGGTGGGTGAGGCCAGCGGAAGGGTCTGCTGGGAGCTTGCGTCCTCTGCAGATCGAGTTTCCTGCTGGGTCTGTCTTCCCAGGAGGCTGTCTGGAACTGGCTCAAGCACAGGTCACTCAGGGCAGAGCTCCCCCAAGGAGTGGCCGGCTGATTACTGAGATCTCACCCATTTCAACCTGAATTTAATTGAAACTGCACTATGGTACTTTTTGCCCATAAAGGAGAACAACATTCTGACGTGTGCTACCACATGGGTGAAACTTGAAAACATCAAGCTAAGTGAGAAGAGAAGCACAAGCTGTGTGATTCCTCTTGCAGGAATTCTCCAGAATGGGAAACTCCAAGGGAAAAGAAGGTAGCCCAGAGGTCGTCTGGGCTGGGAGGGGGAAGGGGTGTGAGTCTTGGTGGGTGTGGGTTTCCAGATAGAGGCTGGATGTGCAGCATTGTGAATGTATGAAGAGCCATTTACAGTGGTTAATTTCATGCTGTGTAAATTTCACCTCAGTTTTAAAAGTAAAAGAGCAAGGCACTTTTTTTAAAAAAGTAAAAGTAAAAGGGAGGCTAAAGCAAGAAAATCATAAGTTCAAGGCCACCTTCAGGGACTTAGCAAGACCCTGTCTCAAATAAAAAGGATGTGGATATAGCTTATTGGCAGAGCACTCCTGAGTTCAAGCCCCAGTACTACAAAGTAAACACATAAAAAATTTAAAAATAAAACAACAAAGAATGTCCTCAAAGTAGTTTCACAATCACCTGGAAGGCTTTGCTTTTGTTGGTGGGGGAAAGTCCACAAAACTCAACCTATTTCTCTGTTAAGGAGCATCTGGTTTAAGGTACAGCTGTCTTAGGCCTAAGAAGTTGCCCCACATCAAAAATAAAACCTCTGCAGATCCAGACTCAGCTGCGTGGCTGAGGCTGGCTCTGGCACAGAGTGGGGGCTGCAGGCCAGGTGGAATCCCCTGGGGTGCTGTCCTGCACCCTGCAGGCCACCTGCAGGCCAAGCTCTGCCTTGAGGCAGGGGAGGGTCCTGGGCTTTACTTTCAAGCAAGAACTAGGAGGAAATGTAAAGCTGAGAGGAGAGGCCAGGGGGAGCTGAGATACTGGGGCTGCCCCAGGACTGTGGGAGGAAAAAAGCTGAGAAAGGGGAATGGGGAGGGAAGGGCCCCAGAGGAGCTGCCAGAACCTGACTGAGCTGGTTGGCATCAGGGGACCACAGCCCGCCTGACCCAGGTGGGCCCTGTGCCCCAGCCACCCACAGCCTCCTCCAGGGCAGCCCCCGGGACGAGGCACACAGCCCAAGGCTGGCCACACTCCCAGCAGCTGCGCAGCGGCTTCACAGAGGAATGAGCCCTCTGTCAGCACCTCGTCCAGCTGTCCCCGGGCACCCCAGCCTGGTAGCCCCCACCGTATCAGGGCCATTGTCCCTGACATGTGGTTGCAGCTGTCTCTGGCACCCACAAGAACCCAGCTTGGGCCCAAGTCTAATCGTGCACCCCTCATTTACCCCAATTTTTCACGTCTTGAAGTCTGTTTGCGGGAAGGGAGCAGGACCCGTCGATACTAACATCTGTTGTCTTCTCTAGGAGGGGTGGTCAGTTTGGGCTGATCCCACCCTGACTGTCCAGCGGCCAAACCCCCGTGGGAGGCTGGCAGGTGCGGGTGGGGGCAAGCAAGCAGGTGCTGTGCCATTTGCTGACCGTGACTCCCGCGGCTGTTCTGCTTGGCTCGGAGGTCTCCTCTTGCGCGTCCCTGCTCCCCCTGCACCCTGGGAGATGTGGCCCTGAGTGCCCTGCAAGCTGGTGAGCCACAGCTCTCGGCAGCATGGAAAGCTAAGCTTCTCCATGCAGCTGCGTCCCAGCGACATAGCCCTGTGCCAAATGCCCTAGTCCTTTTCTTCTACTTGGAATTATATTCTGGATTGGAAGAAATCTTGGAAACTGCCTAGCCTGTGGGCTGGACTGGTCACTCCGCTGGTCATCAGTTACCCCAGTAGTGCTGCCTAACAAATAGCCTTTTAAACCACCAGGCATGTGTTGTGGGCAGGGCCACCCAATGTCGGGCCCTGTGGTCCTAGGCTTGGAGGCACAGCCAATTTTCTGTGCTTATGACACTATCAGGGCCTTCAGAAGTAAAGGTTCACCCAATGCTGGATTCTGCACCTCAGCACCCCCAGCCTGGCATAGCCGGGGAGCCATGTCATCCACGGACTCACTGCAGCACTTGACTAAAACCTCCTTCCCTCACTGTTTTCAGGAAGGAAGTGCTTGGGAGACAGAGAGAGCTTTTCATGGGTATGTTTAATTTGCCTTTGGCACTGATGGGTGTCTGGAACCTTCCATCTCAGCAGAGGAGGCCAGGACCAGAGCCAAACAGAACCCCTCTGACCAAGAAGAGATTTCTTTGTGATAGCTCTACTTCAAGCCACCTTTTGCCTTTGTAGTTGTACTTAAAACCAGCTCCACTTCAGGGGTCACAAACATGGACGTGATGGGCAAGAAGCCTCTTTAGGTTGGGAAGCTGGGCTTGGAAGGGTGGACACAGATTTCAGCCTCCTGTGGGCCCAGAAGGCTGCTTTTCTAAAGACTCCCCGTCAGTGTCCTGGCTCTCCTCTTGCACGTAGATGAGACGGCTGCTCCCAGGCCCGTGTGTCACTTCCCAGTGGAGCTCAGTGCCCAGGGGAGGGTGGCATGGAGCTAGTGAGGGTGAAGGGCAGAGTTCCAGTGGGCAAGGCCAGGTGGGCAGGCAACCAGAGTTCAGGGTAGCCAGGCACTGCAATGGAACAAGGCTGTGGGGGAACAAACATGGAAGGGGTTTGGGGAAGAATACCAGGAACAGGGCTGGGGCTGGAGGCCCAGGTGTCTTGTATCAGACCAGACCCTTCTGGTACAAGGTGCAAACCCACTCCACCCCACATGATCAGGGATGGGCCTAGGAAGTGCAGAAGTCCCAAAGAAGTCCCTGCTTGAGTCCAAACACTAGCAACAGACTCTACTGCTTCTGGGGAAGGTGCTGCTGGCAGCTGGTTATAGTGCCAGGCTGCGGGGGGACCAGCTCCAGGAATAGGAGCCCAGGAAATGCTTCCCCTGCAGGGCCAAGAGGCAGGGATGTGGGCAGCTCTCTGTCACCTTCAGAGTGCGTGGAAAGATGGTGTGTACCAGCTCTCAAGCTGGCGGAAGACGTCAGCTCCACCGAGGGACCCACTGTGGCCCCAACCAGAACTTTTGCTCCAACCAGCGTTCTCAGCATCCCTGAGACCACTAAATTAAGGGAAAGGGGACTAGCAAACAGCTTGGCCCAGAGCCCTGAATGTCTGTTATAGGGAGGCGGGACTCCTGGGGGGCACCAAGCAGGGCCCTCTGTGCCCCTCTGCTGCCTCTCTTCGACCCAGCAGCGCAGGCTGAGCTGCCTTTAGGAACCATAGCTCTGAGCAGTTCACCCCTCTCCGTTGCCTTGTTTCATTTCTGCCAGACCAGCAAGCAATTAAAAGCACCAATTAATCTCCAGTGCTGTGCTGGGACACAGTGCTGGCTGCTTCACAGGCCACTTTGGACGAAGGGGTCAAGGGAGGCCCAGGTCAGGGCTGTGGACAGAGGAGGACATGCCATCCTGGGGTTCACAGGCCCACTCCACCCTCCCCCAATGCTTTTCTTTTAAAGACAGCACAAGGACAAGTGGCCTCCATGACTTCAGGATGGCCAGGCAGACTGACAGGGAGAAGGGCAGTGGATGGTCAGCACAGTGGGTATCCTCCTCCCCATGGCATTCAGTCCACAGCTGGCCCTGCAGTTCCCAGCTCCATCTGCACGCAGGCCTCCCACAGGCAGCGTGGCAAGGGGGTCTCTCTATTCCTGGAAGAGCCCACCAGGCCAGGACAGGAACAGGGCTGGTGCTGGAGGCCCAGGTGTCTTGTATCAGACCAGACACACTTCTGGTGTAAAGTGTAAACCCACTCCACCCTGTGTGCCCCTGACTACATGGCCTATAAAAGTACTGGCCCAAAGCCGTGTTTAATCCATACACATGACCCACCTTAGCCATCTCCCTTTCTGGAAGCCATATCCCCCATTTCTGCCAGCCCAACCCTGGTTCTGGCCAATTGCCAACGGTGTTCTGCTGGGGATGTGGGTCCAGTGGCCATATTCCCTCAGCTTTCCCAGGTCCAGGGCCAGTAGTTCAGCAGTGGGTATCTAGTTCAAGTTCAGTCAGAGCCTCCCTCTGAAACCACACAGACCTCCAGACCAGGATGAGGTCATGTGGACAGGCCAGACCACAGAGGAGGCTGGACACAGGAAGAGCTAAGAGGAAGAGGGTGGGGGTCCTACCAGGGCAACCAAGTATGGCCCATGAGGGATGGAGAGGTGGCTCAAGTAGTTGCCCCTTGAGGTATTTGGGGCTTTTTGTTTTTTTCTTTTTGCAGTACTGAGGATTGACTCAGGGATGCTCTATCACTGAGCTACCTCCCCAGGTCTTTTTATTTTTTGAGACAAGGTCTAAGCAAGTTGCTCAGGGTGACCTTGAACTTGTGATCTTCCTGCCTCAGCCTCCCAAGTCACTGTGATTACAGCCATGGCCATGGTGCCCAGCTTGCCTCTTGAAATTTAAGTCACCATGGCTCTCTCTGTTCTTGAAGGCCTGTGCTCTCTGCTGCCCCAGGGCCTTTGCACATGTTGCACCTTGGAAATGCCCTCTGCTTCTTTTCTTGAAATTGAAAGCTTCCATCAGCTGAACTGTCACCTCTCTAAGCCTTCTGGGACCACCCTTCTAAAGCCCACTCCCTGTGGGAGCATCTCACCCCTAGAGAGAAGCCTCTGCCTCCCCTCTCAACACCTGCATCTTCAGGGCAAGGGCTGTGTCGTGTGCCCCTGACTACATGGCCTATAAAAGTACTGGCCCAAAGCCGTGTTTAATCCGTATACATGACCCACCTTAGCCATCTCCCTTTCTGGAAGCCATATCCCAGTGTTCACTCAGCACCTGCCTGGTGGCTGAGGACAGGAACCCAAGTCAGCACTAATGGAGCTGGCATCTTCCTGAAAACATTGAGATGGCTGAGAGATGACCCTGGAAGGTGGACTTCAGGGCACCCCCCCCCACCCCAACATGCAGGCAGACTGCACTGGGCCTGATCCTGGGCTGGCCAGGGCTAAGCCTCTCCCTGCCATCCTGGGGTGGCCTGCACATGCATGACAGGGGCTGCCCACCAGCACCCCCCCGTCAGTTCCCTGGGGGCCAGAGTGACCTGGGCCAGGCACTGGACTCCTGGGATCAGCCTCCTTTCCTTCAAGAGCCTCAGGAGTCACCTCATCATGACCTAAGGACTTGAGAAATGAGCCTGTGACGCCCCCTGGGGGGCCAGAGAGTGGCTGCCCTGCTCATCACAAGCATCTAACCCAAGCTCTGCTTTGTGCTTTCTTGGCAAAAGGGATCTCATCATTAAGACCTGTGACCCCAATAGCACCAGGCCAGGGAGGGGCAGATCTGAGCCCCCGAGCACAGAGGCTAAGAGGCAGCCTGGCTGGACCAGGATCATCCTCAGTACCTCTGATAGCTCCTCTTTTTGCATGAGTGACTCTCAGTCCAACGGTAAGTCCCACAGGTGCCCAGACAGAAGCCCTACCTGCACTCCACCCTCCCTCAGTGGTCTTCACCGATTGGGATGCTTCAAAGACCACAGAAAGGTAAGGAGGGAAGGAAAGCCACCACAGACTGGCAGGGAGGGGTCTTTCTTGACAGGGGGCAGAGGGAAGGGAGCCAGCTCCCCACCTGTGCTCAGAGGACCGAATCCCAATATGTGAAGGACAGCACTTGGCAGAGACGGTGCCTTCTCAGTCACCTCCTTGTTAGATGTCAGCCCTGGTGGTGGCAAGAACAGGTCCTGCAACCTTCAGGGTGCAAGCTGTAAGGTGTCCCAAAACAAGACTTCAGGGTTCCTCAGCCCAAGGAGACAAGGGCCAAGGCCTTCAGACTAGACTGGAGAGGTGGCTCCGGAGCCTGGAGGCTGGGGGGATGGTCTCCAGGGTGAGATGGTCTCTGGGTCTGGCAGCAACGGGATAGGAGGTGGCCCTGGACTGTCTCCCAAGGGCAGCTGAGTTGGTAAGGTGACTGGGGAGTGTGTACTTGTGCCCACCCTCAAGCCAGTGGGCTCTCCTTTGGGATTTTTTCCTTGCAATAAAGCAGCCATTTCTGCTGTCCTAGAAGGAAAAGGATCACTGCGATGTCACAGTTATGACCCTAGGGTCGAGGGCCTGGGACTGCGCAGTAGAACCAAGGGGGCCTTGCTTAGGGTCACCTGGGCTTCACAGGCCAGCTAGAAGGAGATGGCCTGCTTGGGGTGACAGACCGGCAGACCTGTCGCCTCCCTAGATTTTGGGAAAGGAATCCAAACCACCCTTGGGGACTGCCAGGCCTGGGGCCAGCTCGCGGGGGCGGGCTCAGGCGGGGCTCAGCACTCGCCTGGGAAATGTCCCCTCTCCGACCCCACTGTCACCCTGGCCCGCACACCCGCCCCCTCCCCTCCTCTCCAGGCGCCCTAGGCGCAGCGGCCTGGCGTGGCCTCCGCCTCCGCTGGACCACCCAGGCCCGCCCGCCCAGGGTCTGCACCCCCGCCCCGGGTCACGCCCGGAAGGCCCTGGGCCCCCGCGTCCGGCCGCCCCATCCGCCAGCGGCCCCAGGGACTTGACAGCGGCAGTGGTCAGTCGGCCCCTCCCAGAGCCCGCCCCTCTGGCTGCCGGGCTCCAGCAACCGCGCCCCCATCGCTGCCCCGGACTCTGCGGGCGACCCAGGTCCCCCGGCTCGGGGGCGCGCGCTACCTGGACCAGCCGGCGGATCCCGCCGTCGCGTGGCCCAGCGCCGAGGACCCAGGCTTCGGCGCCGGCAGCAGTTGTCCCCGCGCCACGAGGTGCAGGCGGGGCGTCCGGGCTCCAGACCCACCGTGAGCCTACGGCCGGGTCCCAGCGCCCCACTTCCTCTCGCGGCGTGGGACGCACTGAGCTGCACAGGACCAAGCGCCGCAGAGCCCCGCCCGCGCCCCTCTCCCCTCTGGGCTTCGGGGAACCGAGCAGGGGCGGGCAGGTCGCCGGCTGCGGGACGCGCGGGCCCACGTGGTGCGTCCTAGAGGGCGGGGGCCGCGGGCTTCTAGCGGGCGGGGCGTTCGGTCAGGCTCCGCCCTGGGGGGGCCGCCCGCCAACCGCGGCCGGGCGGGGCGGGGCCTCGTGCTCGGCTTAAAGAAACTTGTTGCGGGTCGCGGAGCCAGGACTGAGCTGCGGCGGCGGCGGAGCCAGAGTGGGAACGGCGGCGGGGGACGAAGCCCGGGCCTCGCGCAGCGATCTTGGGTCCCGCCGCGGCCGTAGCGCAGGCGGGAGGCGGCCCGAGCGCTTTCCACAGCGTGCGTCGGTCCGCGCGCGGCCCCGATGCTGGACATGAGTGAGTCCCGCGCCCAGCCGCCCTGCAGCCCATCCGGCACCGCCAGCTCCATGTCGCACGTGGAGGACTCGGACTCGGATGCGCCTCCGTCTCCCGCGGGCTCCGAGGGCCTTGGCCGCGCGGCGGGCGCGGGGAGCGGCGGCCGAGGCGATGCAGCCGAGGCAGCGGACGAGCGCTTCCCGGCTTGCATCCGCGACGCGGTGTCGCAGGTGCTCAAGGGCTACGACTGGAGCCTGGTACCCATGCCCGTGCGTGGTGGCAACGGTGGAGCACTGAAGGCCAAGCCGCACGTGAAGCGGCCCATGAACGCCTTCATGGTGTGGGCGCAGGCGGCGCGCCGCAAGCTGGCGGACCAGTACCCGCACCTGCACAACGCCGAACTCAGCAAGACGCTGGGCAAGCTGTGGCGGTGAGTGCAGGGTCAGGCAAGGCGGGCAGGAGCGGGGATGTAGCGCAGTGGACAACCACTTCTTCGTGGGGGAGTGGAGGGGCTGGTGGAGTTGGTGGTCTGTTCCAGGCTCTGGCAGTGCCTCCTCCCGATGGTTCCATGGTGGGTCCAAAGGGGAAAATACCTTCTGGCCAGCCCAGACCAGTCATCAGGTGCAGGTCTGGAGGTGGGTGGAAGGCAGTGGCTGGTGTGGCAGTTCCCAATGCATCCTCCACTCCCAGGACACCCTGCCCTGGACTGTGACAGGCACCGTGAGTGGCCCAGCCCCATCAGGAGGCCTGTAATGCCCAGGGGCAGGCAGCCAGCTGGTATTGGAGGTGTCCCCTCCTGAGAAAGGGCTGAAACCCTGAGATTTCCCATGGAGAGGGAGCCAGAAAGGTCTGCTGGTTTTTGCAGTCCATGCTTCTCCCTTTCCCTAGCTACCTGTCCCAAAGCAAAGAAGGCAGGAGTGGATGAAGAGTGCAGGAAAGGCTTTGTGCACTCTTTGGCGTGCTCCAGCTGGGCGGGTGCAGAAGACAGGGAGGCAGCCGTGAAGGCTTGCTGCTTGGGACAGCCCACCCTGCTAAATGTCTTCTGCTTGGGCTTAAGATGGATGACTTCGGGTTTGGGGTTCTGGTTTCTGTTTCTTGCTCCTCACCTGACCACCAAGTGCTTTGTCTGTGGTTCCTGGCTTCTCCTTGGATCTGGGGCACAGTGTCAGGTACTCTGGACTGGATTGGACAGGATTCCCAGTTGGCACCCCTGAACCCTGCCCCACAGGCAGTTAGCCCTGGGGATGTGTTCTAAACACAGATGCTGGGCTTTGCCATTGCTTCTGGAAGGCTGGCCATGGAGGGACAGCAAACCCAGCTGAGTCCACGCCACCTGGATTTTTGTTCATAGTGTTTTTCTCAGCTAGGTCCTACCCATATCCTTAGAAAGCCCCAAAGGGAGGGATAAAACAGGCTTGGAAAGGGGGATATCAGAGGAGGAGGGTGGAGAGTTTGGGTCTTATTCCTCTGACCACAGTAAGCACACAGACCTGACCCAACGGGCCCCCCAGGCTCCTAGTGGGGAGTGCTGCCTGCTTGGAGCCTGGGAGGTGTGAATGCATGGCAGGGTTCCCTGGTGGAGGGAGGCCTGGTCCGGTGCCCCAGCCTGTTTCCTGGCCATGTCTCACCCAGCCCACTTCCCGGTGGTGTGCGTGCGGGCTGGCTGCACCGTGGCGGCACCAGGCCCCGCGGCCAGCCCTGCTGTGTGCTCTGCAGCTTGCTGACCGAGAGCGAGAAGCGTCCCTTTGTGGAGGAGGCCGAGCGGCTCCGGGTCCAGCACAAGAAGGACCACCCAGACTACAAGTACCAGCCACGGCGGAGGAAGAGCATGAAAACGGGCCAGAGCGACTCTGACTCGGGGGCCGAGCTGGGCCACCACCCTGGTGGCACCATGTACAAGGCTGATGCGGGCCTCCATGGTGACACACACCACCACGGTGACCACACAGGTGGGCTCCAGGTCCCTGAGCATCTGACCTCCTGGGAGAAAGCAACAGTGGGCCTGAGCCCCGGGGAGGGGCTTACCGCAGGGTAGGCAGGCGCCTATCAGAGAGCCAACCTTCCTGGGTACCCTGGGAAAGCCCCCAAAGCCCCTGGTTGCAGCTGTTTCTGACACACTGGGGGGCCTAAGCCACAGGATTGCTGAGGGTCCAGCAGCTTTGCATGGCCAGTGCTCCCTGCAGACATCTCAGCTGGACCTACCCACACTCTCCGTGCTACAGTGTGAGCCGCTGGTTGCATGGGGTCAGCAGCACAGCTTTAAAATCAGGCTGAGGTAGTGGGGTCCCTGCAGCCAGGCAGCCTTGAGCCCTTGAGCGTCAGTTGGCCAGAGCCCTTGAGCGTCAGTTTGCTCAGCATGGATGGGAAGAACGGGTCTTGTATGTATCCACCTTGGTTGTGGGCACAGGGCCCAGCATTCTGCTAGTGGCCCATTATTGCTAGCTCTGGTGGGGCCAGGCCAGCCATCTTCCTCCCCATCTTGGTCTTTGGGGGGGGCCTTGGGTCTTCCTGTAGAACAGTGCTTAACGGAATTTTCTTTCCTGGGCCTGCCGAGGAGTGAGGTCTAGAACTGACTGCAGGAATTTCTGGGAAGTGTAAAGAAACAAAAACTCGTTGATTCCTACCTGCCGCTGCTCCCCTGGTGCTGGTGCCGGCCTCTGGCCCCGCCCCGCCCCACAGAAGGGGCATTCATCTACACTGTGCTCTCCTCCTCAGGCCAGACCCACGGGCCGCCCACCCCGCCCACCACTCCCAAGACAGACCTACACCACCCTGCTGGCGGGGGCAAGCAGGAGCTGAAGCCAGAAGGGCGCCGCCTGGTGGACAGCGGCCGCCAGAACATCGACTTCAGCAACGTGGACATCTCAGAGCTTAGCAGCGAGGTCATCAGCAATATGGACACCTTTGACGTCCATGAGTTCGACCAGTACCTGCCCCTCAATGGCCACTCGACCCTGCCTGCAGAGCCCAGCCAGGCTGCTGCTGCTGGCTCCTATGGGGGTACTTCCTACTCCCACTCTGGGGCTAGTGTCGGGGTGTCCCCTGTGTGGGCTCACAAGGGAGCCCCATCAGCCTCAGCGTCACCCACTGAGGCTGGACCCCCACGGCCGCACATCAAGACGGAGCAGCTGAGTCCAGGCCACTATGGTGACCAGCCACATGGCTCCCCAGGTCGCTCCGACTACAGCTCCTACAGCGCCCAGGCCAGCGTCACCAGTGCTGCCCCCGCCACAGCTGCCAGCTCCTTCGCAAGTGCGCAGTGTGACTACACCGACCTGCAGGCCTCCAACTACTACAGCCCCTATGCCGGCTACGCACCCAGCCTCTACCAGTACCCCTACTTCCACTCCTCCCGCCGGCCCTATGCCTCGCCGCTGCTCAACGGGCTCTCTGTGCCACCGGCCCACAGCCCCAGTGGCAACTGGGACCAGCCTGTGTACACCACCTTGACCAGGCCCTGAGGATGCTCATCACGGGGACTTGGCCGGGCCTCCGATGACCAAGTCCCTTGTTCCCCTGAAAGGCCTGTGCCAGCCAGCCAGCAGCAGGCAACGTGACCACAATCAGGTGCCTGTGGGGTCTGCGTGCAGGAAGCCAGGCACTGTCACAGGACGTCCCTTTGCCTCCACACTTCTGCCGACAGACATGGCTTTTTCCCTTCTCGCTCTGAGCACGGATAGCCATTTGTCCAATGCCCCTTCTGTGAGGACCCGTAGACAGAGCGCCTGGCTGGGCACCTTGATGGATGGAATCAGCAGCCATGGAACCAAGGATAGGAGGGAAGGGGCCTGAGGTCTCTGGACTGTCCTACCTGGAGAGCCCCTTGGGACCACGGGATGTGTTCCTGCTGTGACCACGTGTCCTTGACACTCAGATATCGCCTGGGACTGACACAGATGGAGGCGTTCCTGGTAGTCACAGCTCTTCCCAGCAAGGTTTGGCTGTGACCAGCACTTCTCTTTTTGTGTTTAATTTTTTTTTTTCAGTGATTTTTTATTTTTAAAGCTTAAACGTGTTTGTTTTCAAAGCTGTTAAGGATGTATTTATGTTCTGTATTATTTTATCTTTAATTAATGAAGTGATTTGTGCAGAGAGTAGAACTTAAGACGACAGGAAAGCCAGGAAGCTTTGCCGGGGGGGTGGGGGGGGGGGGAGGTGCGGTGCTTGGAGGCTTTGGGAGGCTGCCTGGGAGGCCCTGAGATGCAGAGGCCCATGAGGCCAGGGCTGAGGGAAGGAGGAAAGAGCTGCCTTGTGGGTCTGATCAAAGTCGATTGCCCTGGCTGGCATCAGGTCGGCTGGGAAGGGAGGACTTGGTCCTTGCCCGTGGCTGTGCCAAATGGTAGAAGACAGAAATTCCCTGAAAGTGAAAGAACAATCTTGGCTCTGAGGCCCTGGTGCCACCTACCAAGCTGTGAAACTAAACCTCCACTAAATGTCTCTGGGCTCCTAGTTGTAGAGACTGGTACTGATTCACCACCCGGCTTCTGCTGTGTGCCGAGCATATAACCGTCTACTTCATGGAAACTTGTGCCTTTGAAACTTTGTAAAGTCGAATACACCCGAGAAGTTGCTTCTTTTTACTTTTTCTACTTTTCCTACCTTTTTCTAGAAAAAAAAATAAAATGTGGGTTTTTTTTTTTTTTTTTTTTTTGCATATCTCTTTCTGGGGGTGGGAACCGCAGCAAACTCATTTTTATGCCATCTATTTTTCAGTGTCAAGTTTGGAAAGACTTTTGCTGTCACTTGCCTGCTGCGTTCTGCTACTTTCTGACCAAGTTATGCTAACTTTTGTACAGATCGATTTCATAAAATTAAAAAAAAAAATGCTTTTTATCTATGTGGGCCACGTCTTGTGGGTTGCTTTCCATAAGCCTGGGGCCTGAAGGTTCCTGGGCAGGGCATGAGGAGGTGATGTGTGGCCTGGAGCCCACCAGATTCCCCCAGAGCAGGGCAGCTCTGGGGTGAGCTGATAGGCTGGCTCCCTCCTGGAGCTTCCTGCGTGGGCAAAATGAGTCCAGATGGGGGGCGTTGGGACTGTTTGCTCCAGGCCCATGGGGCTGGTCTCTGGGTGCTGTGCAGTGCCCCACACTGACAGCATTTTCAGGGCTGGCTCAGAGCCAAACTGGGAACAAATAAAGGCTGCCCTGCAGGAGCTGGGCAGGATTGTCTGCCTGGAGGAGAGTTTCTGGGGAGAAAATGGTTGTGGGGAGTGACAGCAGCGGGGGCAGCAGGCCTCTTGCCAAGTCCCGGGTGCACACGGCTGCTCGGGGGCTTCTGGGCTGGCTGTGTCCAGCTGCGCATGCAGCTTCTTGAGGCTTCCAAGCCTGGGGGTGGGCACAGGCTTGTGCTTCCTCCAGGACCCCAGCATGGGAGGAAGCTGCAGCTGCAGGTCTAAGGGTAGCCCCAGTAGGAGACTCTCACCCCATCCCCAACATGCCCTACCGATGCCTCCCTCACCCCAGTGTGGAAACCCAGTCCAGGGCCTGCCAGGAGCAGTGTTCAGGAAGAGCTGCCCTGGTTTATGAGGGTCCCTGAGGTTGGGTATGGCAGGCCCCCAGGGTTGAAGGATCTGGGGAGGGGGCTGCCAGGTTCACGGATGGCTGCAGCCTTCACAGCCTGCTGCCTGTGTGGAACTGGCCCAGCCTGTCCTGTGTCCAGCCAAGGGCTGTCCAGGCCCATATGGCTCTCAAAGCTCCCGCATTGATGTCCCAGACCAAGGAGAGCCCCGGGCGTCCGGCTTGCGGACAAAGCTGTGAGGCCTTCACTGTGCTGGGATTTGCTTTGGGGCTTGCCAGGTTCCCAAGGGCTGTGCCGCCCTGCCAGTTTTGTTTGGACTTGGCAGGGCTCCTGCGTGTTAACTCCTGGGGGCCCGGGCCCTCTGTCTCACCAACCCAGGCTGGTGCCGCTGGGCCTCCTGAGGGTCTTCCTGGGGTCTTTGTGCTTCTGAGTTTCCCTAGGACCAGGACTCATGGCCCCAGCACCTGTGCAGCCCACACCCTTGCCTGGGGCACAGAGATACTCCCTCCCCTTCCTGCATTTTATGCCTGCCCTCTCTGTCCTGTTTCCTGGGCAGCACAGGCAGTGGCTTTGTCCATCGTTCTCAGAGGCTGAGCCCAAGGCCAGGTGTCCCAGAAGTCTCCAGATGCTGGGCCCCAGTACTGCACCAAGGTTGTGGCCAGGGAGCAGACACCTAGAGGTCGCAGTCCACCCCTGTGCAGATTCAGGTGTCCCATGTCCTGTGGCCTCTGAGTCTCTTGCTGGTGAACTTCCAGGTACGCAGTGCACCCTGTCAGCCCAGCCCAGGAGAGTTCCTCATTTTTTGTGTCCTTGCCCAGCACAGCAGCGTCACCTCTGACCCCAGATGAACAGAAGGCCCTGTGCAGGCAAAAAGGGGAAATGCCAAGGCCCAAGGCCACCATTTCTGAAGATTGGAAAAGCCCCAAGGTCCTCCTGGGCCTGTGTCAGCTTTCAGCAGCAGATTCTCCATCGGGACCGGTTCATTGCTGGTGTGGTCCTCCCAAGAGAACTCATGGCCCTGAGCAGCTACCCATCCTCCAGGACTCTCAGGGAGGCAGATTCAGGCACTCAGCCTGCAGTGGCCTCTCTAAGGACCCCAGAGTGAGTGTCAGAGCCTCACCAAGTGACTCCAAGATGGGTGTCAGAGCCGTAGGTTCTGGCCTGCCTGCGCTCCAGGCCTCTGTCTTTCCTCTCAAACCCAGGCCCAGGCCCAGGGGCTTGGGCCTCAGCAAAGGTGGAGGACTGTTGCTGGCCCACCTTTGGCTGCACTGTGTCTAGCACAAGCCCCAAAGCAAATCCCTACATCTTCCGGCCACCACATACTAGCAAGCCCTGGGCACTGCGTGTGGACCACTGGCTGGGGCACACTCTGCCAGTTCCATGGCAAGCCTTTGCTTGGCCAGGACCCAGTCTCGGGCCACCAGCACCCCTTCCCCAGATTGATATGAATCCCAAGAAAGAGACAGGTTACCTCCCACCGGGCACCTGGCAAAAAGACTGTTGGCAGGAAGAGGACTCACAGCTGGACACAGCATCTGGCCTTGGCCAGCCCTTCCTGTGCACCATGACATCCTGGCCTGTCAGTGAGGGCACCACAACTCCCGTGACCCAGCAGCCTGACGGAGTTGGCTTAGGCCTGAGGCCATTGCTAGGGGATGCCAAGGCCTTGGGACCCCCTGTAGGCCCTCGGACGGGGACCTAGGTGCAACAGAGAACTGGAGGGCAGCACAGCCCACCCCAGCCCTTCTAATCTCTCTCGCACTTTCTGCTTCTCCCTGCTGGCTTTGGGCACATGACTTCCCTGGGGAGGAAGGATGTCTGGGTCCTGCAGGCCCAGTTAGATTAGGGTCCACCAGTGGCTGAGCATGCTGTGCACAGGCTGGACGTGGCCTGAGGGATACTGCTGGGGTCACATTGCCACTCTGCTCATTGCAGAATGAGGTGGGCTTTCCAGGAGAAAGCTAAAGTGAACTGGGCAAAGGTGCATGTCCAAGCTGGGGCCCCATGTTGGCCATAGGCACCGCTCCTCCTCACCTACCTCCTGTTGCTGTCCAGGGCAGCTCTGCAGTCCTATGGTGAGAAGCTCCACTTGCTGGCCTGCTGGCCTTCCAGAGACTCAGTTTCCCCATGACCACAGGAGGCTTTCCTGAGGATGCCCTGAACTGGGCCGCTGCAGCTACAGCCAGTGCCCCAGCCCCTGTGACTGGCACCTGCTGCCTAGGTCAAATCTCAAGCCCACTAGTCTCCAGACCCCTCCCTAGGATACACCCCCTTCTGGATCTTCTCCCTCCCCATTAGGCTGGGCCAGAATCTAGGGGATGGCCAGGGAGCCTCTGGATTCCCAGATGCAAGACTTGGTCCCCTGAGGTCCACCCTGGGAAAACTCAAGGGGACTCAGAGGACCCTCTCCCAAGAGGTTTTCTGACTGGCTCATGTCTGGGCTCTTCAGGGGCAACTGGTCCAGGGGGACCCCTCAAAGGGTTAAGGGGTGCGGGCCGCCTTGCCCGCAGCGGGCGGAGCAGTTGGCTGGAGCGCCCAGAGCTGTGGAGGCGAAGGCGCTGCATTCTAATGAATCATTATTGCCACGGAGGCCTTTGTCTTTCTTTATCCGGTGCACAATAAAAGAATTAATTAGACAGAAAATGGCAGGGCAAGGAACTGACAAGTCATTAAGGGCTGCTGAATGACCCATGAGATGCACGCCGGGGCGGATTTCGGCTCCAGAATGATAATGGCTGGCCAGGCGCTTTGTATGCACGACCAGCAGGCCCTGGAGCCGGGCATTGTGGCTGCCATTGTAGCCGGGCCAGGGTGGACACAGGGTCCTGACTCCCCAGGCAAAGCAGAGTGAGAACCGCCACACAGAATCCGTGCACTCATTCCTGTGTGCGGACATGGTCGTCAGTGTTTACACGCAGCCGGGGACTTTAGGGAGATTGCTCTG